ATTTTGTGAGCAACGTAATATGATTGGAGTCACGATTTGTTGATCGCGCAGAAAATGCAAATCTACAAGAATCTCGTAGGTGGGGAACCTAATAATGCGATGGTCAGTAAAACCGCGACCCAGTTAGACTGCCTGACCCACTTGGATGCATCGTAATCATCGTTAGTGCACGATATGGACTGATATTAGAGGTAAATACATCACACTGCCGGAAGTCTCCTATTGCCTTCTTGTTTGCCTAGGATATACCGGTCGAGTTAGTTTGTAGCCTTCAACAAAGATCGCAAACGTCGGAGTTTTGGCGCGCGATGCAATTTTGTTTGATTGGCAATTAAAGTTCCATGCTATTTGTATACTGTGTAATCCCATATAGGGTCGCCAGTAGTGACAACGAAACGATTGGCCAACGCAATGGCTGCCCACTAACGGCCAAGGTTCTGTCAGCCAATGCTGGGCCATCACTGGCAAACGACAGGCTGTCAAATGACGGCCGAAGTACTGTCAACCAGTACTAGGCCATCACTGGCAAACGACTGGCTATTTAACTATATACACAAATCCAGTGTTATGACGACAACCAACGGTTGGCCAACGCAACGGCTGCCCACTAACGGCCAAGGTTCTGTCAGCCAATGCTGGGCCATCACTGGCAAACGACAGACTGTCAAATGACGACCGAAGTACTGTCAGTCAGTACTGCGCCCGTAGTATTGCCAATATTGCATAAATGCCCGAAATGTGGTGCAGTATTGGGCCGATCGCAATATCTACACTGGTACAGTACCGGCTAACAACAGTTGGGCCAGTATCATTTGCCAATATTGGGCCCAAGTTATCATCCAACACTTAGCCAGTACTGCGCCCGTAGGTTGCCAATACTACGCCAGTACCCAAACTACGACAATCGGTATTGGCCTAATACTGGACCGATTGTACAACCCTATATGGAATTACTCGTATCATCCGGATAAACGGGCTCCTTTAGCGTTTGTTAAAATCACATATGTTGGTTCTCCGCTGGCAAACCGCAGATTAACAATTCGGGCAGTGCTTCGAATTATCCGGTATGCCGAATATACCGAGCAAACACAGTTATCGCAATTAATCGCAATCGCCGATAAATTGTATCACGCATCATGGATACGCAGTCGTGTACCAGGAATATCTTTCCGAACAGAGAAGAATGAGCGAATAACAAACGTGTATAACACGCACGGAGAAGTCTGGAGATTTATTTTTGGTTCATTCCGACCTTGAACGCTATTTTCACACATGTGATAACCGGTTCCTTCTCTACACACACGAGAGAGTACCGCGGTGTCGAATCACGATTATGCCGTGAAAAACAAATTAGCATAAACCATTTGTAACTAATTTAAAATAAACTAATTCAGGGAATAATATCGTCACAAAAAAGATTATACAATGTTCAAGGATATGAATATAAAACGGCATTGATATTTTCAATAGTAGATTACGATATGCAAGCAGAAACGTCAGTAAGTCATACATAAACATGAATAAAGATAAGATCAAACAGCAACTCTGTAAGTGTTACATATTAATAAATGTAATAATGTATAATATATAATTATATTAATATATAATTTTTAGACTCGTCTTTAGATATTAAAAATATGAGCAAATTATTAAAATAAAATAATTTCCCTAATGATCGTGTAATCTTCTTTGCCGATAACAATTCGTAGACCTTGAAAGACTATGGAATTATTTCTATAATATACTAGCTTTTATATATCTCATTTTTAAATAAAATCGACGAAAAGAAATGAGATTCGACTGTCGGGGAAAAATCCTAGAGCTGGTCGTGGGATGACATCGGGTCGGAGATAAATTGAATACGATCATTCCGATACCCTCCGTTACCATCTCTCTCCCTTCTCGCCGCCGCAATCTCGGCGTAACTTATAAGAATGATAATGCAGCGAGTCGACCGGAGCATAAGGAGTGTGTAATAGAAACCAAATGAGCCAGACGAGACGTATTCTGTGAAGGGAAAGATATTTCTATGAGGGTTCTGAAAAGAAAGAAATACGATATCTCCGTTTGAAAGACGTCCTCAATTCCACTACTTAATTCCGCGCGTTTAAAAAGTAAAATTTAAAAAACTTCCCTATAAATCTAACGCAAAATACATTGAAACATTTATTTTAAGTTAAAATGGCTAAACATTTCGGCCCACGTTAGATACACAAATGTTCACTCAAAAAAATAATCTTGCAGTTACAGCGAAAATTATCTAAGTACGAAAAATAGCTGGAATAGATTAATTTCTAGCAAATACTGCGATATTGGATATGTATTGCATCTAATCATATATATAGGTGGCAAAGATAGAGACTTTAGATTTGTGCTATAAATTCTATGCGTATGATTTATAATTTTTTATCAGATACAAAAAATAGCTATAATTCTAACTGGAGTAGCAAAATATTTTTTTGTGTGTTGGAATCCAATAGAATCCCAACATTGTCTATCTAGAGTACCTATTTCAAAGTTCAAACGTGATCTTTCGATTATTGACTAAACGTGATATTTCATTAGTTTTTTTATATCATTTATGTGGTACGATTCTTCGTTAGTGTAAGGTTGCAAAAATGTAGTTTTCGAAAAGCCTTTTCGAAGCTCCTTTCCAAAATACAAAGAACCATCTAACGACACTACCGTGACAAATCGAGATTTCAGATGACGCCAACTGTGTGTCTTCGCGACATCTGTTGCGCACATGAGAGCTAGGACCTAGGCCAAGGTACCTTCAAAACTCTCGTAATACCAAACGTGCATTAACCCACTAAAAGACACGAGACACCCCTCAATGCAAACTATGTCTCGAGGTCGTCTTTGTAATAAATCAAACGCTCACAAAAATGCCAACTGAATATCTGCTATATACCTGCTAGATACAGATTAGTTACGTAAAAGCAAGGATTATATGGAAACGGATACTTAATTGAATGATAAATTTACTTCTAACGTAAGAGATAAAAAATATAGTGGGCATATGTTACTTAATGCACGAATCAATATCAGCGCCCTGAAGGCACGCTCTACGAGATAAGGTAACATTTATTTTCGCCGTCTATCGCTAGGATTTAGAGGACTCTTTAAACAAATTTATCACTTATCGTTAGTACGAATCTCCGTAAACATAAGATGAATATATTTGTAATCGACCTTTAAACATATTTTTTCCGATAAAAACGATACAAAGCAACGTTCAATACATTTCGACAGCCTATCAGATAAATTGGACAATATCTGTAATTTTTATGGAACCACTTTGAGTGCAGCCTAACAAAATCGACAGCATCTTCGAAAGATAAGAAGCAATTAGGAAATGTAATCACGCAAAGCTTTCTAAATTAACGTAAAAACGGTCGAATACGCAATGTTACTCCGAGGTTGCATCCGTGTATAAGGCGACAAAAAAAGGCATCAGATCGCAAGAGCGAAAGAAGTTTCTTAGTATCAAAACCGAGAAAACGCCCGCGGCGTCTATATAAAGTAAACTTTGTCGGTACGCGAAACTTTCCTCTGTAAATCGGCGATTGGGATCGCTGTCTACGCGACTCACTGCTGCGCGAATTCGTAGAAATCATTGAAAGGACTTGATGCTCGCGAGCGACAATCTACAAATCTACATCTATCTGTCGATTCACGAAGCGTCCAACTTTTAACCCGATTTTCGACGAGTCGACAGTCTCCGTCGTTGAGACGAGTATTGTCATTCCCGTCTTTTTGCATCGCACTGTACGCTCCCGCGATTTTCTGTACGAAATCGCAAGTCTTGCTATGCTTCGAGGCGTTGTTGCGCAACACGAGGACGCACTCTCTTCGAGCTGCAAAACGCGTACAATTGTCCCGACCCGAATCGCGTCTGGAATACTCCAGGGAGGAGTTTGCATGATGAATCATTCAGGCGTCGACAAAAACAGGGAGCAATTCGACTTCCCACACCGCTCTCTCTCTCTCTCTCTCTCTCCAGTGGATTTTGATTAATCTGGTATTACATGGACAATACCACTCTCCTTCCTTCCAAAAAAGAAAACAAGGTCAAACTTGCCAAGCAATGTGCCAACAAATATAAACATTCTGTTACATTCTCTGAGATTTTTGACTCCCGAAATATATTAGACGTTATCTCGTAAAAAATAAAAAATTGTATTTAATAAAATATATCTTGTTATTCTATCAGAGTACATCTCATTATCCTTTATAATTAAATTATATATCATACACGTATTTTAAACAAAAATAAATTATTATATATTTTATTGGAATAAATCGTTAATGGAGGACACATCATTCATACTGTATTATTCATTAATGTCCGATCTGACGTTGAAAGAGATAGAATGATTAATTTCAATCGAAATAGCAAATATATGAAATCAAATATTTTCTCGTGAATACAATTAGGCTAAATCACATATATTTCTATATCGTATAACTATGAAACAAATCTATGAAATCAAATATTTCTCGTAAATACAATTAGGCTAAATTAAACTGATATTAATTTATTAATACGATTTGACATCAAATTCAAGATACGTGATAATCAACTTCAATTGAAAAAGTAAATGCGTGAAGTCAAATATCTCCTCGTGAATATAATCTCGAGGCAAATTTGGTGTCTATTAATACGAAGCATACCTGGATTGCTGATATGTAACTTGCATTGCAAGATAAGCGTTTTGCGGCGTATTTGATTTATCTAGCATGAATATTGCACGGCGTAAACACGGGAACGCGTGGTCAAGAATGGACGAAAATTACTTGCAATTATTCGATATTTATCAAATTCGACTTATGTACAGTTGGAAATGGAATGCTGAACGTTTGCTGTTATTTTACACATACACACAGGTATATATATATATATATATATATATATATATATATATGCACACACACATATGTGTGTGCGTCACACTAGCCATTGTCAAGAAGAACAAAAGCAAAAGCGTATGACTTACCTTCTCGAGACACTCCTGGCCGATGGCCTTTGGGTCGACCTGTACCTCGAGGATAACGGAGTTGGCCTGACTGACGAGGCACCACATCTTCGCGATCGCTCCTCCCTCGGCGACCTTCGAATCTGCGTCGAATTAATCCCTCGCCGTAGCGCCCGGCGGCTCTCCTCTTCACAAGAACCAATATGCACTCTTATCGCAGCCGACGTTTACAACGAAAAGGACAAAGACAATAACGAAGATGACAATGACAATAACAACGGTCTCTCGTTCTCCGGATACGCGGCTGGTCGGCGACCGGTCGTCCCCGGTGGTACGTTCTTTGTCATAACAAAACTTCAAAAGCTACGTACGTGCACAGCTGTCACGGCGACGGGCTCGCGCGCTACGACTACGTACGACGTCGACAACGTGCTCGTTCTCGTACCGGAGACCGAACGCGGCTCGTCGGCTTCCATTTCTCGGCACGGAATGGCACACGCACTAACCGCTCGTCGCCGCCGCGGGTCAGTTCGCGAAATCGAATCGCTCTCCGGCCGCTCGATCGAGTGGCGCTAGCGCCGCAGCTGACACTACCGTCGGGACTGGCACACGAACACAGATGCAGGCGAGCGGAGGACGGAGGAGTCGGAGTGGAGCACGTATCGTCGAGTACGCGGCACTACGCGGCGCGGCGCGTCGAACAAGAGGAGGGAGAGAGGGGCGACGCCACGACGGGAGTTAAGTACAGCTGATCATCCCTACTATCACGCGCGGTGCGGCGGCGCGCGGCGCGCATGGCCGTCCCCCACCAATGGCATACAATGCTTGCAACGTTGATCCATCATGCGTAAACAAAACATGCGGCGAACTTTGGAATCGTTGTTTTATGTCCGAAGCCTGCAAAATAATCTCATTTATAATTTAAATCAGGTTTTTACGTGGAATTCTATTTGTAATTTTGTACTTTGTACACTACGTACGTTCTGATTCTTTATACGCTTCTCTCGGCATCACCGGCATTGTCTGAAATAGAAAAGAATATAAAAAACTGTTATTCCCCCTTTGAATTTAAGCAATAGATCTATTTCCCAGGTAGCAAGCTACGTCATTTTGACGTCAGCTTGCTACCAGGGTTATAAAACGAAATTTTTAACTCATTAATATAATGTTGTCTCTCTAATTTATGTATATTAAATAACAATTTATCTATGTTAAAATACGATAATAAAGTAATATAATTATATCAATTATCAATTAAATTAATTGAATTTTGGTCAAAGTCACTTTAACAATTGACGACAAAGAGACAAAATAACAAGAAACAGATAAGATATCACAGCGTTACGACACAACATGCAAGTATAATAGAATTTAGTTCAGGAATTCACTGACCAACGTTGTGGTCGAGCTAAGTACGTTCTCAGCTACACCTGAGAGAAAGAGAGAAACAATAATATATTCTAATTAATTTAATCAATTATCAATTTCATTGCACACTCATTTGTCGATTATTTCATTATTTCAAGAAGTGCAATGTTCAATAAATATTTTATACGCGTAAAGTATATATTTTTGAAAATACTTCAATAAATCTTTCGCAAATAACCGCAATCGTGCAATTGCGACATTGTAATTATGTATATTAATTTAAAAACGAGTTGATCTATAAATAACTAACATAATTTCAAGGCTTTCTAACGAAAAATTACATTAACTCACGAGATAAATAATTAACCCAACATCAGTCAAGGTAAAGTAGTTTTATCCTCTCGCAAGTTTCATCTCAGAAACGCTTCTTCTTAGAAAACGCTCGCGTGAATCCCATCCAGGAAACGATGAACGGAAACGAACGTTTCACTACGCACAATTTCGAAACTTGATTCGCGACTTTACCGTTGACAAACGCATATTCGAGCCGCCATGTTGAAACACCGATATGAATCGCGCTTTATTCCGCGGCGTATGATTTCTGCAGCAGATTATTTCGTTAGGCGCATATTTACGACGATCTATTTCCTCGACACGCTACATCTCTGACGTCGATCGCATCCCGACTGTCCGAAAAGAACGACTCGGTATTGCGCGCCCAAAACAGGGATCGCCGCTCTCCTTCTCGCACTCGTCTCGATGTTTATATCATGGCACGGTCTCGATTATATACGACGAACTCGCGGCAGTCATACCCTCGTCACTTTAATCGGCACTTCCGACACAAATTCGCACCTATAACGCGCTCTTAACCGACAAATTCGCGATTAATCACGGAGCAACTGCCTTCTCGGTCCAAACCGAAAAATCTACCGAACTGTCATGGCGGCCGGTAACAATCGACAGTCGCGCAAAATTTGAGAAAATTTGAAATGTGAACAATTTGAATTGGTGGAAGTCAAATGCTTTTTTTTTGCGCTTCTCAGCAAGCTGTATATCGATTCACTCAATGTTCTTTATAAGGATCTGAATAGATGTGTGAAAATTTACGTTCAAAAGACGCGAAGAAAGTAAAGTAGAAAATATTCATATTTCAAATTGGCGCGAAGGACGTTACCGGTTACATTTATAAGTCTGTTCTAATAGCGTTTTTCACTGGCAGAACTGCCAACTCTGCCAGTGAAAAACGCCATAAAATAGTCGTGCGTCGGCGCACGTAAACAGATCTCCATTCAAATTTTCTGTATAGGCCGATATTTATAGTCAGTTTTTATTTCAAGATTTTAAATATATAAACAGATAAACAAATAAAAAATAGATTAGAATAATGCTAATTCTGGCCCGAAGCCAATATTTACAGTCGATTTTTATCTTTAAAATGGTCTTAAATACAGTTTTAAAATGTCATAAGCCAATCAGAAGTCTTTATTGTATTAGTATTTTAGACATTACTTAAGACGATTTTAAAATAAGAACGAACTAATGCTTTTCTTATTTTAAGATCGTCTAAAATTGGCTTATGACATCTTAAAAACTATAATCAAGACGATCTTAAATATAAGAATTGATTATAAATGCCGAACATAGACGTATTCATAGTCAATTTTTAGATATAAAATTATTTCATGTTCATATCATGTGATGCGGCTATAATAAACGTTCTCGATTGTAGCCAGTAATTTAACCAAGAAATTTTATTTAATTCAACTGATATTTCTGGCTGTTTTTGTAAAAAAAAAGTCAAAAATATATCGTAGAGAGGAGAAAACAACTAAATATATTACTTTTTTGCTACATTTTTTTAATATAGAAATGTTTGTTTTTATAAAGAGAGACGAGAGAAAGAGAGTCTTGAAAGTATTTTTTTCCATAAAAGAATATCTGGATTTGGATTTTGGTAAGAAAATTATATACAATATATAATTTTTTTAGGACAAGAAAATGATATAATTACAAGTTTCACTATAATTTCACATTGATTGTGAGACTAATTCGATAATACGTATATATAGGTATAATGATAATCGTTCAATTGCTCTGTACCAAGACAGGAATTAGCTTGAACTTGTAATTGTAAATTATAAAGCAGCAGAAATGTACAGAAATGTTGAAACCATGAAGATCGACGCATCGTCAAATTTTCACGCGTCATTAATAATCGACAAAACCGATAACGTGGTTATTGATCGAGGTTTAACGAACCTCTCAATATTTCAGTTCAGCTCAATATTCAGCGACAGTTCTTTGAATATTCTATTAATCAAATCTGCGAATTTGGCGGCACATGTCAGGGAAAAAAAAATTACACAACATACCGAAAACGAAATGTTTATATATACGATCAAATAGAGTATATCTTCGTTCCAATACATATAGTAAAAATAGTAGGTACTTTTCTTTAATTTTATTTTTTAAAAAGGTAAGGGTTCTCTTCTCATTAATATCATATATATATATATATATATATTTTTTTTTTCCTTTTCAAGATCAATATTATGTCGAACATGTTGTCAGTTCTGCGAAAATAATACATAAAAAGAGCGAAAAATCATACATTTCGGGTTTTACTTTCCTTTTTTTATATTTTGAACACTAATACTGTACAGACAACCAACCAGCTCACAGAGATAAGGATATACATGTAAGGCAAAGTTGCCCATCTCGCAAGATTGACAGAAATACGAAACGTTCCTGCTAAAAGAAGAGGTCTGAATATTGCTACATCGTCGCGTGGTCCACCGTCGACTGGGAGCATGTCCGTGAACCGCGAGAGGTTGTAGGGAAAAATCTCAAAGCGCGTCCTCGATGTAACAGAATCATGGAATGACATCTAATGGCGTACACTGAACGACATATACAATTCCACCACCCTAAATCGCTTTAATCGTATCTATCTTAACAATCGTACATCGTCCCGATGTATCTAGGCCTTGACGCATCGGGTCGAAGTACTCTGTTGAATTCACTTTACTTTTTTTTTTCTTTTCTCTTTGTTACGATGCAACTACATTACAGCAATTCTCAAACTGTCCGAATACGTGCCGGTAAAAAGCTCAGCGTTAATAACAATACGATTACATTTATTGTCGTGTAGCAACTGCGGGAGAAAAGAATTCTAGTAGTAGTTTGAGTATCACTGCCTACAGCTACATTGTATACAGTTTCTCAGATAAAATATAACATGTCATACGATATAACAGCGATAAATACATATTGAGATATGGTGAACAGTAATATTTAATATATATTTATAGAGCGTAAGACGTATCATATTTATAGCTATATTAGATGCGATTCTTGTGGCTTAGACCTCAATGCGGTAATTATTGTGCAGTTCCGGCTTGATATCGTACACCAAGTCCAAGATTTTAAGCATGACCTAAATTACACAGAGAGTCGACATTGTAGTTTCTCAGATATCTGTGTTTAATCTATTGATTATATATACGCATACTGAACTTACCGTGCTTTTGTGCACAGAAACGGTCTGATTCATTTCTTCTATCTTAAGTCGCGTATCTGCCTCGATACGCGCAGCTACATCCTCTTTTGAACCCATGTGCTATGAATAATATTGTTATTACATCGTTGATCAACTTGAATATTGAAACTTAAATCTAACAAAATTCTCAATATAAGGAAAACGACAATTACCTTGGCTTCAAAGTCACGGAATTGTTTTTCTCGTTCCTGTCGATA